TATATATGTATATAAAATTATATGTATATATATGCATATATGTACGTGGAGGTAGTGCACGCAAATGTACATGTGCAATTTGCAATCTAATAAGTGCATTCCTTCCCGCTTATCAAAAACTTATCAGTGATTAAAAAAAAATGCCTTTCACTCCGCAATAATTTTGCTTGTGATGCCATAGCAGATAAATAATCTCGATTTGTAGAATATTAACATAAAGAAGAGCAGCATTATATATTTATTGATCTACATGATAGCATGTTTAAAAAATTTCACAAAGCTCTACCTTTGACCCGTCAGGCAAATCATAAATGCATCAGCATACTTACTGACCAGTTACTTATTCTTGCCGTGAATTAAGATATAAATGTGCACTTATCTTCACGTACATATACATATAATTATTTTGTATTAAAATATATTAAAAGATATAGTACTTTATGATTAGTGAAACAGCGGAGTATGCTAAAAGTGTAGATTCAGTTTAGCCTTCATGTGCTGGATATAATTGTTTCATATTTCAGTTTTTTTTCCTTCTTTATTTTACATCCATTGTTCGAGCTTAGTATTGTTATTTATTTTAAGTTTAGTAGAGTTTGTAACAATTCAAAACATGTATAGACTGGTAGTTTTATCTATTCTGAAAAATTGAAGAATGTGATAACTACTAGACCTTATTCGCCTTGTCCAATTAATATATTTATATAAAAGTAGCAATTTCAGAGAGGTGTGGTGCAGTATTATTTGACGTAATCGTATTGGGGTAGGGATTGGCAATCGTTTGGGAGTAAAAGCATGGGAATTAATGCTGAAACTAAACACGCGATTCACGTTGTTTCATTTATATGTTGGCTAATATTATTCGAATTTATATGTGGAACTATACCTTTGTTTAATCAAACTTCAAGCAGATTTTTCTCTTCCGCTTCACTTATCGATAGGTTTATTTTTGTCTTATTATACAAATTTTACTGCGCATTAAGCAGTTTATTTTTTCATTTAAATGAAACGTTCATGTCTTAACGTGAACCAAAGTTGTTGTTACTGACTGGTTTTCTCTACATGTATTAGATAATTAGTACACACCATGGAAAAAACCAGTTGGGAACAACTTTTATTTTGTTTTACAACATTACTGCTTATTCTATATAAATTGTTGCACTATGTGTAATCTTTTCAATGCTCCTTGTTTTTTGCATTTAAAATTATGCACGAATATATTCAACTGCAAAATGTGTACATTTTACATATTGAAATCATTTAGGCACAACAACAAAACATAAGTTTAATTAGTTAGAAAGATGAGTTTAGTTGCATTGAGGCTGTGGGGTGCTATTGTTAATCAAGGAGTGTTCCTAATTTTTATAATATTTGCAAGATTTTTGAAATTATGAGAGTGTCTTCGTTGAGGCACTTTAAAATTTACCCTACTGGTATAGAGTAAATTTTAAAGATTTATCATTTCCAGAAGCATAGACATAGCTATTTTTGACCATTTCATTCAAGAATTCAGTTCAATCTGGAATCAGTTAATAAACTTGAATAGCTTAATGACATGCTAAATCTAAATTTCACAGTTTTTAGGTACGGGTATTTTGGTACATTCATTCTTTATGTTACACGACTGGCATCGTTATTGGTGTTACCTCAATGCATATTTAATACTCTTGGTCTGCTGTTTTTCAATGGATTTCGAGACAAAGTGAAATTAAAAACTGCTCCGTTATTAGCACCTCTCGTTTGTTTTCGCGTAGTAACACGAGGAGATTATCCGGAGCTTGTAAAGGTAACATTATATAACTCACGTTTCCCACAGTGATTGTTTCTAAGTTTGTATTTATCTTTATTATTAGTTTGGGTGGTCCACTACCTCCATCACGTTTGAAGATCGTATTCAGACTGTTGGATTGATTAAATTTTTCGATCATTATAGCACAAAGACGAATATAGTGAAAATTTCTCTGTGATGTTAATTACAGCAAAATGTAAATTACAATATGGAGAAGTGTCGGGAAGCTGGAATGGAGAATTTTTTTTTTGAAGTAGTAACAGATAAAATGATCAGCGTGCCAAGTAAACCTCGATTACGAGAAGTAGTGGTTCCAACAACTTACAGGTGTGTTTTGATATTATTTTTTTAGACTTGATGACTGCATTTTTTTAAAAAAAAAACATTTCCTCAAAAGGTAAACACTAATTGCTCACTTAATTTCTAGACTATTGCTTTACCCACTCTAATTGTAGTGCAGTATATCTTATCCATTTTAGGACCAAAAGTGGCGCTCAATTCAAATCACGTGCTTTACAGTACTGTCTAGAAGATGATGTCAATATTCTTCAAGATGATGATTGGATTGTACATCTCGATGAAGAAACTTTATTAACAAATAATTCGGTCCGTTTATCGCCTTTTTTTACTGCACTTATGTGGGTCATCATATTGATCAGGTCTTGTATTTAGAATTGATTTTACTCAGAACTCGTGTTTCGTTAGTTTTTCCTCTCCTTCAGATTGTTATTGCTTTGATAGTGACATGACAAATCATGTTCAAACTGTATTGTTTCTCAAAATTATAATCGCCCGCGAGTTTCAACCCTACTTAAGTGTTTTTTTAACTTAACTTACATTTTAACACTGTCATTGTTTTTTCACTTTTGGAGTTTTCGAATTCATTTCTGTTATATCTAGTATTTTCTCCATCTGATGGCAATTTTTTTAGATTTGTGGTATACTGAACTTTTGTGAAGATGGTAAGCATCAGTTTGGTCAAGGAGTAATTACTTATGCTAATGGTGACATAGTAAATTGGATTACAACTTTGTCAGATTCATTTCGGTTTATTTTTCTTTTTTTACTTTGTCTAAGGAATCGAATTGTTTAATGTTGTATGCAGACCATTATTCACATACCTTTTCTGCAGAAAAAGATTGCTTTTTATAATAATTTCATTACTTAATTTACACCTATTAAACATTTATTGAAGAACTTTTCCTATTAATTTCAGTGTGGCAGATGATATGGGAAAATTGCGTTTCCAATTTCGATTTTTTCATAAACCACTTTTTGGCTGGAAAGGTTCATTTGTTGTTACTCAGGTAATCGTTGTTATTGAAAATTTATTGCACATGAAAAAAAAAATCCTTTAATTTCAAATATGACAATTTTACCTCCTATTTCTCTATAAGTGTGTGTTTTTAATTGTAATGATGTTAACCACTTAAAGGTTGGGGCTGAACGTCACGTGTCATTTGATCATGGAAGAGAAGGCTCAATAGCTGAGGATTGCTTCTTCAGTATGATAGCATTCAGAGATGGATATACGTTTGATTTTATTGAGGGTGTGCAAATCGTTCTTGTTATAAAAATTTAAACTTTATGAAATAGCTTAAGATGGATTTGTTTAGTTAATATCTTTTCAATATTCTATAAGAATAGTTAAACATAATTTTTAATTAAGTAATAGTATGATAAATAGTTCTTTTTTGTAATTCTGTAGTTTAGACCCTTCAGGAGAAATGCTCGAAAAAAGTCCGTTCACATTCTGGGATTTTTTGCAACAACGTAAACGCTGGCTTCAAGGTATTTTCTTGACAGTACACGCTAAACAAATTCCAGCGAAAAATAAAGTAAGCTTTGAGCTGTTTTACTTTCTCCACATGATATATTTTTTGAGCACGTTGGTGGGAATAGTCAAATATAATTGTAGACTAAGTAATAGCAAGATGACTCGATCATTTAAGTTGAAACATAGTAATAGGATTTTTAAATAAATAGAAATTTTTTTAAAAAGATTTTTAGATGAATTATTGCTTATTATTTAATTAATCAGATAGATTAAAATGAAGAATCGTAAACTAGAAATTTAGTATAGGCACCATGTATTTTTTTATAGATATTATTAGCATTGTCTTTCTATGCATGGGTATCAATGCCAATAACTACTATGCAGATGTATCTGTATCATGCATTCCCACTACCGCCATGCCTTATATTTGATTCTTTGGTTGCATTTGTTGCAGCAGTTAATCTCTACATGTACATTTATGGCGTACTGAAAAGTTTCTCTCACAAATATAGGTTTATCCTTTTTTTATGCTTAGAAATACCTAGAAAATGCACTTTGCTTTTACTGCCTTTATTATCGTAAAATATTATATTTGCATTCATTCAGTCAAGAGGAACAGTATCAACTCATTATCAAACAGATTCTATTATTTTAATGCATATTAACTTGTACCGTGTATAACACTGACATTAAACAGATAGTAAAGTCTGATCTTTTAATTTATATTTTTTACGCGTTCTTTAAAAAATAATGAACACGATTATTTCTTCTAGAAAATAATAAGCCAGTTTTTAGAATATATAACTATTGATGTAATCAAATATTATCCACCTTGAGCACATAAGATGAATACACATTTGTTATTTTATTTTTTAATATCAAAGGTAAATTCTAAATACAATTGCAGGCATAGTCCAGTGCGGTTATGTGTTTACATGGTGGGAGCATTGTTAACGATACCATTTAATATTTGTATTGAGAATATAGCAGTAATATGGGGAATGCTTGGAAATAAAAATGGCTTCTATGTTGTCAAGAAGGAATGTGAGTAATTGAGGACAAAAGCACATAACAAAGACACAAGTATAGATGAGTTTTTATTATAAGTACTCATGTTTGAATTGACATAGCTTTAAAAGCAGGTCAACAGAACTTCGAAACAAAGTTCTGAAATCTAACATTTTCTCGTCATTATTTATTTTTGTTGCATATGATTTTGTTAATTCAGCGTTAGTAGGTACGTGACGAAAAAAAGAACTGAAATTCAAAAGCGGCTGCAATAAATTCCAAAATTCTAATATTTATGTAATATTAGGTGCAGAACAGATACAAGCAACTTATTCAAGAGTTGCTCGTAAGTATAAAGTTTTGTAGGGAAGCAAATTAAAGACGCACAGGTCGTGCGGAATCGCTGCACTTAATTAATCTGTTTTGTTGATTATAGTTTCCGTTTTTTTTACTTTCTATTAATGAGTCATTTGATTCGAAAATGAGAGCATTAGAGAGAATATAAACTTCTTTATTGACAATGTCTCAACTATGCATAGTTTATTACTCGTTTGCTAATTCTTGAGCAGATCTGTGAGATATGCATGTATAACTCTCATCTTTAATATCTTAGGGTCATTGTTATGATTCATATAGGTTACTTAAAAAATAACTTTATATGTGACCAAAATAGCTGTAGAGTATTTAGAAGACGAGTTGAAAATCTCTGTTTCTGCTTATTAATAAATTATAAGTAAAGGTAAGTCTTCTGCCTCCAGCTTAATTGTAATTATGATGCGATCTCAGTAAAAGATCAGTTTGTAAAACACTTTTTCTATTATGCTTGCTTTGTTTTTGTATTTTGTTTTCGTTTCCATATGTTTGGCTTAATTTATACGTCTTTCTATGCTTTTTTCTCTTCCAATTCTAACTCTTTTCAAAATTTCTGTTTCTACAGGCATCTTTTGAAATCTTACAAAACGATTTCAATAAATTTTAGAATATGCAAAAGTAGAAGATTACTAAAGGAGTGAGTTGATCAGATTGGAATTTATCCAGTGAGCGAGAATGTTTTAAACGGGTATAATATTACTAACAGTTTGTTTTTCCAATATTATTTAACATTAATCTTGATTTGGTCTTCTCTCTAATTTGTATTCTTCTTCTTCTACAAAAGTTCTGTGGTCCTACTCATATGGATATTTATTTTAGCATAACTAACTGGCTTACAGGAACATTAAATTGACTCATATAATGAGTATATTCCAGATTGATAATTTGTTCACGTTGATGTAAAGTTAACTTCTATTTGTATTTTGCCAGTTTGTGAAAATTTCATGTCAGTGTTAAACCGAGTAATTTTGCATATTGTCATCTCTGAAGTATTTTTTGAAGTTGATATGTATTCATTTAAAACAGTTTTTTGTTGAAAACTTTTTTTCTAAACACTACAGTGCATTCACGTTGTTTAGTCACGCTATTTTCATCATATCATTTACTTGTTGAAAAGTAAAATTAAACTGAGAAAATAAAGTTGCTGATAGACTAAAATAGTGATTCATGTATATTTTCATTGTAGTTCTTTGCGAACTGCTCCAAAATATGCAAAACATGCTTTCATTATGTTCATGCACTCATTTTGGATATAACCTTTGTATCGTAATCTTCCATAAAGGATGTATGGTTTTCTATCACTGCCTCTTTGGTGTTATTTATTTTAGATTATGTGCTGTTTATCGCATTGCCGATTTTTTAAGCTCATATTTTTTGCTGTCATAAATGGGATAGTTCGCTTATTATAATTCACGTTTTATTATTTCATTAGTATGCTTTTTTTTCCTGCTTTCGGGTAGTTTATCTAGTTTGGCATCAAAATGACAGCCTACTTTGGTCCATGAATATAAAACTAAATTAGAGCGATTAAGTGTAGAGCGCGACCTATTTAGATAATAATCTCAAGTATTTTAAGTATGTCATCTAAAGAGTTTTCAAAATAAATTTTTTGAGAATTTATCTGTTAAAGATATTTTCATGTTCATTTATTTGTTAGGACCAGCTTTTAAGGATATTGGTTGAGTGTTCTCAAATATATTCTGATTGTGGTCATTGCCATAGATGCTTTCTATTGTATTTCATTAATTGCTTATTCATAATTGTAAAAGGCCTTATAAAATATTTGCTAGAAACTTTTCTAAACATTTATTTCCTTTCATTCCAAATATTATTTTATGGAAAACATGACGTTGAAAGGGGCTGGAAGCATAATAAAGTATAAGCAGTGAAATAAGTAATCGTTAATGCTGAGTAGAATTTGTTATGTGGGGAAAAGTTTGAAGCAGCAAGCTCAAAAAAAGAATGGAATTACGCATAAAGCGTATTTCTGAGATTTGGTGGTTTTCATGTTCTCGTAGTCTTTTAAGTCTTCAAGTTGATAAGGGTATGGAGCAAATGGATAACTCACTAAAAATTCGATCCCGGGAACGTGAAGCTTTGTTTATTTCCATTTCTACACATGTTTAGTATTGCATTCATTCATTTGCGGATCAAAAGTTTTCTATTTTTATTCAGTTTATGATTGCCGATGTTAAACAGGATTTTAAAAATGGAATCCTTATGGTGGTCGCAGTAAAGAATCCAATCCATTCTGGAGCAATTAAATAAGAGTCTGGTGTTGTATATTAATAACTGCTTGTACGCTTTTAGATGACAGAATTAACAAAATTAGTATTACGGTAATTTTTGTTGTGATATTTGGGCATTTTTTGGTGAAGAATAAGCATTTTTGTTTGCAATTACTTTATTGGCAAACTTGATCGCTCAATTGAGATGTTTCTGTCGTTTTTTTTGACTACTTAAATTAATAAAAAGTCGTAAACTGCATTAAAATATAGTGGTTACTAGAAAGGATATATCGGGTAGTATAACTGGTCGTCTTGATTAGTCAGAGCATCCCTTCCATTAGCCAAAGTTCCAAGTCTGAAACTTAATTTTAAGTAAAAATGATTTAAATTGAAGTCTTCAAAAAAGCGAAACCAGAAATGATAAAATAGACAGTATTCTGAAATTACAGCAATTTTTACGAGTCGAATCTCAGAATTTTTCACTTCAGGGATTCAACGTTTTACTGCGAGCAAAGAAACAAAATTATAGGAGTGAAAGTGCTACTCAAGCAATTTGCGTAATTGCATTTTTCGTGGCTTCTTTATGCTATCAGATGCTGGCTCATGTCTTCCTTTCATGCTAATATTTATTAACGTAGAACCTGTGCTTTTCCTTGAAGGCTTCTTCTTTACTCTTATCTTTTGTTCTTTTCAGTTCTTCCCATAGATAAAATCTTTTCATCTGAAAATCAGCTCGCTTAATTAGTATTTTCATACTTCGATAATTAGTCTACAAAAATAAAATAACAAACTTTGAGTAAATAAACGATTTCCGTGACTTCCACCAGCCAGTATAAAAAGTTTCATTAATTCATGAGACAAAAACACAAGCACAATGCCTTATCACACAAAATGCAAGCAGTGAATGCCCTACGTCAAGCACTAAGCAGTTTCAAGCGAGAAAACAATAATTCTTATCGAAATATACACCGGATTCAGGTTTTTCTCTTTCTTTTTCTGTGCATAATCAAAGCAGTCATTTCAAAACAATTCAATGCAGTCAAACAGTGCGAACTTTTAAAATAAACTGAAGAATCACATTATAGGTTTTATTAACCTTAGAAACTTGCACATTCTGTAGTTTAGTTATTAAGAATTCAGCACTGATCAAATTATAAATCACAAATGCATCAGAATACTTATCAGAATCGAAGTTCATATTCAATTTTGTGCTCATCAAGCAAAAACAAATTCAAATTCATGTTTTGAACTGAGTAAGTAAAACCTTACTTACTTCAAAAACATTGTGCAAATATTTGCTAAAAAATTTTCCCGCAGTACCTTTGAACTCTTACGTAAAATTAGAGCGAAACACTGATAAATACATTTACCTCTTTGATTTCCGTTTTGTCCAGTGGATGGAAACGGGTTTGGCTGATTTGCACGAACAGTAATACTGTCACTATTGGTAACATAATGAAGTTAAGATGCTTCAACACAGCCATTCTTTCAATATAATTGCCTATTATTTTATCGCATTATTCATTAAATCTCAATTGTAATTTTATAAACTACTGCTTAGTTTTTTATTTTTTACTACACAAATTGACAAATAAATAGCTAGCTTATATGATAAATTATTCGCTCACAGTTTGAAAGTAACACACTAATGGCATTTTTCGGTGAAGTCAGTTTCATAAAATCTGATTTCTTGACACACAGATCAGAGCGTAATGTAATTAAAAATCAAAAGCTTACGATGACTAAATGTGTCATCGAATAATGCATTAGAGTTTATACATGAATAAATAACAATGAAAAATATTTCAAGAATAATTTTTATGAAAAGGAAGCAAAAAAACTTTTATAAAATGTATTGTCGAGAGTAATAATAAATATATTGGAATATCAGAAAAAGATCTTTTCGAATACATGCTGTGGTGAGGTAGAAAATTATAAAGTATGTTGTTGTAAGTAATTCGTTACTTACTTACTTACTTACTTACTTACTTTACTTACTTAGCAGCAATTTATGGCTGACTTGTCAATATTTTAAAACAAAGACTGACTTATCACTCTTTTAATCTAAAGTAAGAAAAAATCTAAAGTTCTCTTTCTGCTTATAAAATGAGCACTTTTTGATTAAAATTCAAATTAAATATAAGTCTGAAATTTTCTGCTAGAAAATACCAAAAACAAAGATTGCATTGTACTGATGAAATTCGCTCCCGTTCTAACCTTTCAATCGCTCTCAGTTGTTCTATAATATCGCGTAATTTCAATGCCCAGAAAAATTGCAAAGCTTTTCTTACAGAAATTGACAATTGTTAGTAATTAATAAGTATGTTAATCGACTGATTCTGAACAACTATTGAAAAGAAGTAGAATAACAATGAACTGAATAATAATTTGTACTACTGCAATACAATGCTCAAAGATAATGCGCTAATTAACTCAACAAACAAGTACATGGATAAGGCCTGTTCAAGAAAATAACTTTGCACTACTTATTTACCAGAACAATAAATTGATTGCATAGAGATTGTACTGGAAATGAGTGAATGTATACGTGACTGAAATGCGGAACGTGTGCTTTCTATTTCCACAGTAAGCAGGCGAATTGCGTCACTAATAAATGCGCGAATAATTGAAGTGGAACTAAAAACTGCTTACTTTCAGTACCTTTTGGCAGTGCGCAGTTGCACAGTGAATTAAGTCGACAATTTGTTGTTTGGTATTGCAAATGGTAGAAAGCAATAAAGAAACACGAGAGTTTAACTTCATGATTGTTTGACTGCAGTCCAAAGCATTAATTTCAGTATCAGACTATTTATTGCATACTGCATATAAGTTTACTTCTGCAAACCTGGAAACCACAAGTAGTAACTTGCGGTCTGAAAAGCTTAATCTTATATGCAGTCAGTCATTGCCTAGCTCATAGCTTCAGACAATCACTTCCATGATCAATTTATCTTTTGATGATTGATTGCATGCGGCAGATATGTATCTCATCTCGTCATCATGGACTATTGCATGATAACACAAGCACACTTTGAAGATCGAAATTTTATGGTCAGAGTAAGCAAGTTCTTTTACAGATTTGATAAAAGTAACGGATACGTACTGAATCTGGCTTATTTGTCTGATTATTACTGAAAAATTAAAACGCATCCATTTCAACTATTTGCATTTAAATGTTATTCAGAAAAAATGCAACATACAAAAAATGAATCATAGAAAATGTTGACAGATATTTCTACTTATTGACTGATCGAAGCAAGTAATGATAAGTAAGTATTATCAGATGATTATTGAAGAATCTAAGGTTGATCATGACTGTATTGCATGCGCACATATGCGAGAAAATGCTTTGCTTACGATTAGAGCGGACAATTCATTTCAGAAGTAATCAGATATAAGCAGATCAACCTTAGATTCTCCCAGATCATTGCCTAGCTCATAGACTTCAGACAGACGTAACCTGTAATCTGCTTGAAAGTGAGCTTCAGATTAATAACTTATCGCTTATTATCATTATCTCTTGGCATCATTTAATTGCACGTACGAGCACTTATTTTTCTTTTTTCTCTCTGCCAGCAATATCAGAGCTATTTCATACTCAATCCATAGACTTCTTCTACATCTCGTTTCCATTCATCAAAGCTCTCCCTCACCACACCAAATTCAAAAATCTTACTTTCAAATGTATGTCAACTTCAGTCTTTCTCATTTACATTATGCCAACAATTTAATACTTTTCATATTGCTCAGTACTACAATTCAAGGCTCGGCCATATTTCTCCATACTCAAAATTTTAACGGTTTTGACGTGACTTCACGAATTGAAATGCACCTGAAGTGTGTATTTTTCACTCACGTGAAAGGGTGAAAGGTTCACATCGTGCAACTGTAATGAGTATTCAGTCACACTTCTGTTGATTGCGAGGAAGGAAAGACACTACGAGTTTTCGGCACTATTTAATCAAACAAGAAAAAAAGTAATTTTCGTCTTTAAAATGTTTTGCGCTCAGTTGTGGCTTTCTTTTGGTAATTTTATTCAGACTGTACTCGCACTTCCTGTGCTCTCTTTCAGTAGTGTGTAAGTGAAGCCAAAGCGTTTCGTTGACAGCTCAGATTTCTCAGTGAAGAATTAATTTGTTTTCTACGGCATGTCACTGAGTTGTGCTGGCAGCAACCGGAATCATAAACTGATGCAAAGTCGCAATAAAAGTACGCAATTATTTTGCAGTTATGGGCAAAACATCGAAAGATAAGCGCGATATTTACTATCGACTGGCAAAAGAAGAAGGCTGGCGTGCTCGTAGCGCATTCAAATTGATGCAAATTGACGATGAATTCGACATATTTAAGGGCAGGTGACTTTGCGTATTTGACAGCTCTTTTTTTAAATGAAAAGAACTAAGTAATTCTTATTCATTACAAGAAGGTAATTACTAACATTCATTTCTACATTTCATATTTTTTTGCGTTAATTTGACATTTTTTATGTGATCACACTTATGCCTAATTCTTTCTTGTATTAATAGAATCGCATGGATTTTTTTCTGTCTCATTTTTATCTGATCGTTTGTCAAAAATGAGATTTTTTTATTTAAAAAGATTGTCGTTAGATATTGCATAAAATTGTGAGATGTAAGTAGTTAGAAGAAACTAAATGATTTAATCGGTTTGCGAATGCAAAATCTCACGAAACTGCTCGATCGGATGCTTTCAGTGATACTTGAAAACGCCTGTTTATTTGTAGTATGCATAGGCTTTAATAAAAATTATCATACTCGTGTTGTCTTTGGAATTCTGTAATCCACTAGTATTCTAATTTCACTTTATTTTGTTTTCAAAAAACATTTCAGATGTCCGTCATGTTGTTGATTTATGTGCAGCCCCTGGTAGCTGGAGCCAAGTATTATCAAAAAAAATTTATTTTGCGGAAGAGGATGAAGAGAAACGAAAAGATGTAAATTTTTTACTTCGGTATTCATCTTTTTTTTTTCTTAAAAATTGAAACATTCAACATGCATTTTGTAGATACTTATAGTCGCTGTGGATCTTCAACCTATGTCACCGCTTCCTGGTATTATCCAGCTTCAAGGCGATATTACAGAAGTAAAATTGTTTTGTTCATATACATTTCAATTATAAATCGCTAACTTAATCATACTTTATTAATTGTTTTCGTTTTTGGTTTCTTATTTTTACTTATATTATTGAAATCATTTTGCATTTCAGATTTCTACAGCTGAAAAAATTATGTCTCATTTCAAAGGAGTTAAAGCTGACTTAGTGATTTGTGATGGTGCTCCCGATGGTATCGTCTAGCTTTTCTGCTCTTTTTTGTATTTACTGATTGTTTATTATATTTATTACTTGTGCTACATTCATTTCAGTCACGGGTCTTCATGCATTGGATGAATACATGCAAAGTCAGCTCGTTTTAGCAGTGAGTACAGTTCATTATGACTATGCATCTTTGTTTATAAGGAAAATATACTTTTTATTAGGATTATGCTTCATTCATATTTCAGGATAATTGCTCGCAACTTTATTGTGATTTGATCAGTTCAACGCATTGAAAAAATGAAACTTGTTTAAAAAACAATAATAACGGTTACTTTTCAGGCGCTAAATATTGCAACATTTGTTTTGAAAGAGAAAGGAACATTTGTGGCAAAGGTTCGTTTGACTTAAAATTTTAGCATTCTTATTTCTTGAGAGCAATATACTCTATTATTCAGTTATTCAGAAGCACTCTAAATTTAGATATTTCGTGCTCGTGATATAACATTGCTTTATGCCCAACTGAAGTTTTTTTTTGTCGAAGTTTATTGTGCAAAGCCGCGAAGTAGCCGACAGAGTAGTTGTGGTAAGGAACTTTCATGTTTTTCAATTTTCTTCTACTTTTTGTAGTCTGTTTTACAAATTTTGATCACGATTTTATCGTAACTTTTAGAAGCATTCGTCGTTTGCAAAAGTTTTAAGTTACCAGATGGATATACACCAACAATGAAAAATCCAATGCTCTGTGCAGATTATGGTGAGTAAGATGAAAATATTTTGAAGATCATTTTAAATGTTTCAGTGTTTTTGTTTTAATGTTTGTTTTGTTTTATGTTTTTTAATGTGTTTTTTT